TGAGGGGTTCCTTTTCCAGCACTATATCTGACAGTGTTTCTCTGCTATTCATAAGGTTTTCAGTGACTGAATATTTGGAAGTAGTTTGTCAGTCTTCCTAGTCTGTCTTAGTCTGGAAGCTCATCTGAAACCTGTCTGCCATGGTTGACCCTGCTGGTATTTAAAATACCGGTGGCATAGCTTTCAGAATCACAGCAACTCACAAGCCACCACAATACGACAAACTGACAGAGTAGTGGTGGCTGTTTTTGTGGTGGTGTTCTTCCTGAGATATTGATAATTTTCTAGACAATAATTTAATAGACAATGTTTTGGCACTAGGTCTTAGCCAAATTTGCAAACCTACCTTATATACATTTCTGTAATAAAATTTCCTTTTGTTTCATCATCTTTAAACTTGCTTTCATTATTGATTTATGTATTTGTCTTACTGAACTTATTCTTGAACATAACCTTTTATTGTGATATGAGTTAAAGTTTGCAGAACAGATTGATTTTCCATTTAACAGTTCATACAGGTTTTGTGTTATTGATTAAACTTCACAATGTAACAACATTCTTTCCAGCTCATCCTTGTGTTTACTGGTTCCATTCTCTAATCTTTTTTGAAAACGACTCACTACTAGTGATGGATTCCAATGCATAGCAACCCTATAGGACAGAATAGAACTGCTCCTTACAGTTTCTGAGACTGTAAATCTTAACAAGAGCAGACAGCCTCATTTTTCTCCCATAGAGATATTTGAGCTGCTGACTTTGCAATTAGCAACTCAATGCTTACCCCTGGGAACCACCAGGACTCCTTTTATTAAACTATCAGAAAGCCAAATGCACTACCATCAAGTTGATTCCAACTCATAGTGAAACTGTGTAGGGTTTCCAAAGCTTTAAATCTTTACAGGAGCAGAAAGCCTCATCATTCTCCTTCTGAGCAGCTGGTGGGTTAGAACTGCTGACGTGATGATTATCAGTCCAGTACTTATTCTACAGTGCCACCAGGGCCCCCTTTTTTTAAAAAAAAAAAAAGACAAAAAAACTCATCTGTGATGAATTCTCATTTATATAACTTCATGATAATGAATTCTATTGCAAAGTGGTACACAGATGCCTGCAGGAAGGGAAATCCAAGCAGCTCAGGCTGAATACCTTACTATAGGGTCATCTTAAGGGAGGGAGCCTCTTTAGAACAGATTGATTTTAAATCTTTTTTTTTTGTTTTTATAATTTCAGGATCTGCATCTCCTGCCTTTTGCCTGCTTCTTGGCATTTTAGCATCTCTCCTGTGGGGTGTCTTCGAATCCTGAATACCAACTTGCGCCAAATTATTGTCATAAGCATTCTGGCTGTTACTGTTTCACTTTTATACTTTTCTGTTGTCATAATCCGAAATAAGTATGGGCGGCTATCCAGAGACAAGAAGTTTCAAAGGTAAGAGGTAAAAAACAAAACAAAAATAAAACATTTGTTTTCTACCATCCCTTTATTTTATAACTTCAAGACTTTGGCGTTAGGTTGGAATTTGGGGAGCATGTGACTGTAGGAACTGAATGCAGTCCTAAGTACATGGTGGCATGAAAAAAATCACTTGCTTAAAATTTGTTAGCTGTTAACTGCTAAGCCCACATCATAAATGTCCCTGCAATAATTACTTACACATAGGCTTCTCTTGTAATATTTTTTAAACTGATTTTTGAGTTAATGTTGATAGTTTGTAAATAGGGAGTTTTGCTTTTCAGAACTTGTTTGAATCTCGTTAGAGGAAGATTGAATATATATCTGATTTAAATGGCTGTTATCACCATTACTTGTTTTCTTTTCATTCTTTCATCAGTTGGCAGAATGTTACAGTGGCATACAGCTTAGAAGTCACTGACATAGCATTTGTTTACTACATCTTCTCTAGTGGTTGCAGGATGATATCCTCTGTCTAAGTGTGTTTGTTTTTCTACACGAGGTACTTGGCACGCGTTACTGACATTGAAGCTACCGATACCAATAACCCCAATGTGAACTACGGTATTGTGGTGGACTGTGGGAGCAGTGGGTCTCGAATATTTGTGTACTGCTGGCCGAGGCATAATGGCAATCCTCATGATCTGTTGGATATTAGACAAATGAGGGATAAAAACAGAAAGCCGGTGGTTATGAAAATAAAGCCTGGTAAGTGAATTGATTATCAGGCTCTGTACAATTATTGTCATTGGTAAGTGTCGTCGAACTGGTTCTGACTCATAGTGACTCTGTATATGGTTTTCAAGAAGCGACTGGTAGGTTTGAACCACCAGCCTTGTGGTTAGCAGTCCAGTGCTGATCCTACAGCACCACACCATGGCATTCTGTGAAGCCCCTAGAAAATGCTGAATCCTTGCTTTCATCTAGCTTTACGTATCCGGTTCTGTCATTAAATTGCCCTCATAGAAGAAGATGAAATTTTTCATGCCTTAAAATTGCCCTTTTAGAACAAAAGGACAGCTATAATGTTGTCCCAAGAAAGATAAAGAATCCCATTAAAATCAGGCGGAACCTAGTGTCACACTTGGGAGTGTTTGAAATGGAAATTAAAGTACCTTTTTATAATATTTCTTTGTTTTGCAGTATAAACTCCCATGCATAGCATTCAAGTGTCTTAATAATTTCCTTCCTGAATAGACTCAGTCTAGTGTTGGGCTCAATACCTACTGAAATATTACTCCATTGTGTGTCCATATTCTGCTAATTCAAATATTCAAATAATTTAATATTTCTGAGTTACAATTTTTAAAATCCAAGTGGTGCAGTGTTTAAAGCACTTGACTGGTAATGGAAAGAATGGTGGTTCGAACCCACCAGCCGCTCTGTGGGAGAAAGATGTGATAGTCTGTTTCTATAAAGATCATAGCCTTGGGAACCCAATGGAGCAGTTCTCTGGCCTGTAGGGTTGCTATGAGTCACAGTTGTCAGCAGTCAAGTGTAGGGGGATCACAATATATTAATCTCTGAAACAAACATTGTTAGCTTTTGGAAATATTCAATTGATATATATTAATTTAACAAATATTTGCTGAGTACCAACTATTTGCCAGAGCCTGTGCAGTGGATTCTAATTTGAGCAAGACACAGGTTGTACCCTTAAACTTCCAGTTGTACTAAGACAGACAAGTGAAAAGGTAATTTGGATATGGTTTAATGAGTGCTAAAGGCTGGTCTGTCATGAGAACACTCAGGAGAGACTTAACTAAGCCTCAGGTTTTTATTAGGGAGGATTTCCACGTAGGAAGTAGCCCAGAGGGTGAGTGTAAGTTAGTCAGGTGAAATGGGGTAGAGAGTAGGGAGGCAGACAGAGAAAAGGCAGTTACTGAAAGAGGTGCAAAGGCCCTAAGGCCAGAGTATGGTGCATGATGGAAATGTTAGTTCCCTATAGCCAGAGGCTGCCAGAGTATGGTGCATGATGGAAATGTTAGTTCCCTATAGCCAGAGGCTGAATGAAGATGCACAGAAGTGTTTTAGTTCTCTAGTGCTGCTATAACAGAAGTACCATAAGCAGATGGATTTAACAAACAGAAATTTATTCTCTCATGTTTGGAAGCTGCAAGTCCAAATTCAGGGTGGCAACTCTGAGAAAAGGTCCTTTTTTCCCTTCAGCATCTGTAGGCCCAGCATTCCTTGGATATCCCTGTGTATCTTAGCTTCAGTCTTCCCCTCGATCTGGAAGTTTCGCACAGTAGGAACCCCAGGTCCAAGGACACATTCCACTCCTGGCTCATCTGTTTTGGTGGTAGTAGGTCCCTCTCTGCTCACTTCTCTCTCCTTTTATATCTCAAAAGACATTGACTCAGATACAGCCTAATCCTACAAAGTATATCAGACCTCGTTAACATTATAGATGAGAAGATTTACACCCTAGGATCATTCAGTCAGAGCTGATCATATAAGGTGACATCATGGGTTAGTTGAATCATATTCGATCTCATCATGAGGTGATAACTACATGTTAAACCACTGAGAATCCTGGCCCAGCTAAGTTTCAAACCTTAACGACCACAGGAAGATAGAAGGTAGAATATTTATGTTGATGTGAAGCATTGAACCTTATGGAGGACATTAAGGAGCCACAAAGGAATTTTAAGCCCAGAAAAGATGCCATTTAGGTAGGAAATGGTGCGGATGGCCAAGGCTGGAGGGTAGGAGAGTAGCAGGCTGGCAGAGTGTAATGGTGTCTTGAAGAGATGAGGAAAAGTGAAATAAAGTGAAACATGAACCAAGGAGAGGCAGTCTCTGAAACTCAAAATGGGCATGGCAGAGCAATTTTATCCAGGATGCTGATTTAGAGCATTGGGTGGCCAGAGATGGTGGCCCTTGAGGTAGGCAGTAACAGTAAGAGCAGGTTTATAGTGGAAATTGAGATCAGATGGATATGAGGACAACCCCATGGTGACATCAAGTAGATAGTTACCATATGCTGGTAGTTTGGAGTACAGCAGCACAGGTGGTGATGGCAGAGATGAGAGTAAGTGAGTTTACTGAAGGTGTTTCAAGAACATGTTTCTTGCGGGCATAGATGGTCTCATTTGCTATTAATCCCAAGTACCTGGCACATAATAGATGCTCAATCAAGTCTGTGTATCTTGATGACAGAAGAAGTAGGCAGAGGACTGAACCTGTAATATCATCAACATTTAAGTTAGATAGGAGGCTTTGGAAACAGCTGCCAGAGGCATAGGGACAAAACTAGGAGAGCGTGTTGCATAGTTTCTACTTCTCTCAAATGAGCCACACTAAAGAAATATAACTTGTCAGCTAAAATGATCTACTTGTTAATTGAAGTGTCCTGTTTCTCTAGGCATTTCAGAATTTGCCACCTTTCCAGAGAAAGTCAGTGATTACATTTCTCCACTCTTGCACTTTGCTGCAGAGCATGTGCCACGGGCAAAACACAAAGAGACTCCTCTCTACATTCTCTGTACAGCTGGGATGAGAATCCTTCCGGAAAGGTGATCCTGCACCTGGGGAGTGGGCCCTGTTCTCCTTCTTTTAATTTGTGTTTGACAAAGTAAACCAGCGTTCTTTATTCCAATCTAAATATTCCTTTTGCCAGAACTCAACAAATATCTTTCAGTGTATTTGTTTATGACAATAAATGTTGTTAAGTGCTGTTGAGTTGGTTATGACTCGACTCATCGCTGCCCTGTAGAACATTTCCAAGGAGACACTGGTGAGCTTGAACCACCAACCTTGAGGTTCAAACCGACATTGTAGTCTAGCGCATTAACCTGTAGCACCATACCAGGACTCCATGACTATAAATAGTATGCTATAAATTTTCATTAAAAAAACTGACCTTCTATTTTATTAATTAAAAGTATACGTATAGTTTCACATCCTAACCAGTTGCTGTAAAGTCGATTTTACTCACAGAGACATGGGTTTTTCAAAGTCGTGACCTTTTGGAAACAGATTTCCAGATCTGCCTTCTAAGGTTCCACCTGCCAACCTTGGAGCTAGTAGGTGAGCACTTAACTGTTAATGCTACTCTGGGACAACGCCGTCCTCAGAATCATAGGATTCATATAATTTGTTCATTCTGGAAATTTCTTCCTCAAATATACAATCTTGCCAATGAATTGCTCTGGTTTTAAAATGAACTGTTTTAAATAGAATATGCTCGCAAGGCCAGCAGTTCAAATCCACCAGCAGCTCCTCAAAAACCCTACATTGGGTTGCTATGAGTTGGAACTGACTCCACAACACTTAATAACAATATAGTTATTCCCTCCCTTATTCCTCCCCCACCCCCCTTTTTTTTTCTTTTCAAAACAAAAACTGAGAATGTAATGTTTCGATATGTAAATTTTGATTGCTTTACAGTCAGCAGAAAGCCATCCTGGAAGACCTCCTGACTGATATCCCTGTGCACTTTGACTTTCTGTTTTCTGACTCCCATGCAGAAGTAATTTCAGGGAAGCAAGAAGGTTAGTTATATAAGGCTTCAGTTTCAGCCTAAGTCTGGAAATTTAAGCTCTTTGCATTTCCCAAATGTATAACCCTATTAAATCTCTCAATATCTTAAAATTTGAGAAATCATAGCCTTGAAGTATTATAATTTTTAAATGTCTAAACTAGTTACCTGTATTAATGGTCTTTATTACCTTTACTACCCAAAGGTAATAAAGACCATTAAAAGATAATAAAGACCAAGGAGCTCTGGTAGTGTCATGGTTACGAATCAGGCTGCTAACCTCAAGGTCAGCAGTTCGAAACTACCAGCTGTTCTGTGGGAGAAAGATGAGGCTTTCTGCTCCCGTAAAGATTTATAGCCTCGGAAACCCTATGTAGGGTCACTATGAGTCAGAACCGGCTCCACAGTACTTAGCAACAACAACAACATTATCCACACATTGAGCCACTTAAAAATTATCTGTGAGAAAAGGAGTTTTTGCTTGGGGGACACTTAGTTTATGTTAATGATAGAATAATTTGGAAAAAGAGGGCAGGCACGGTTGTACAATTTGTACAATGTAATTAATGTCACTGAATTGTATATGTAGAAAATATTGAATTGGCATGTATTTTATTGTATATATTTTTACCACAGTATACCAAACAAAATTGTCTTTGTCACATTTAAGGCTAATATTTTTGACTCATCTTCATAGAAAAGATTTGTGTTCTCTGCCAAGTTATGCAGCTTTTTAAAATTATGACAATTGTTGATCTGTTGGATCCTTTTGCTGATGTATTGCTAAGAAGGAGAAGTTCTTCTCTGATACTCTAAGAAAATATTAGTTATGTTTTTAAAGAGCTGATCTACTTAAAAATTAAATGACAAATAATGATAATGTTTGGGGAATATCTTGGTAGACAAAGATGCCCAAAAGCGTTTATTTCAAAATAATTTACTACTGCAGCAATTATTCCCCTTTTTCTCTATTATTTATTTTTCACCTGTAAACTGTAGCAAAATATGATCAGCATTATTATATGTAGATAGATACTATCTACATTTTTAAAGAATTTGTTGTTGTTAAGTGCCGCGGAGTTAGTTTCGTCTCATGGCAACCCTGTACAGAGTTTCCAAGGAATGGCTGGTAAGTGTGAACCACCGACTTTGCAGTTCAAACTGACCTTGTGGTCCAGTGCTTATCCTACATAATTTAGGCATGTGTAAATAGAAGAGCTCTTTAGAAAGGAACAATTCAATACTGACTCTGTCACTTTGCAGTTGTTGTTAAGTGCTGCGGAGTTAGTTCCAACTCCCAGTGAATCTGTATTGGGTTTCTGTGAATCAGCTGGTGGGTTTGAACTGCTGACCTTACAGTTATTGTAAATGCCGTCAAGTTGGTTCCAACGCTTAGTAACCTTGTAGAGGGTTTTGAGGAGTGCCTGGTGAGCTTGAACCGTTAACCTTGTGATTCAAACCAACCTCACAGTCGAGCACATTAACCTGCAGCTCCAGTTAAAAGGGCTTTCAGTTATTCATTCCAGAGTATATGGCAGCATCTCCAGTAATACTTGTCACATGATAGTGTATTAAGGTTATAGATACTCATATGCACAAACAGCTAATTTCTTAGAAAAATGTGTATGGTACTGCAGCATAATGAATGTGGAATCTGCAGTTGCTTCATAGTGGCCAAATTTTAGTATATATGATACCATTACCTTTTTCTGCCAATTCACAGGTTAAAAGTTGTTACCGGAACCGCCTGTTTGCACTTACTACCTAATGTTTAACACACAATGCAGGCTTTGTAAAGACTTCTCTTGTGTTTAAAAGCTAAGATCAATGAAACAAGATAGCATGTGACCATATAAAAGTTCATTCCATTCAAGTGTTTGCATAAGGCTATAAGGTGAACTTCCTGCTGGAAATTGTCCCGTTAGGGCATCAGTCATAAAAGGATTACTAGATACTCCAGCAGCTGCAACTTGACCAAAAGGAGTTACCCCTGCCTTTGTCAAAATGCTGCAAAACACGGTCTGTTGTGGGAAAGTTGTTTGGGCAAGGAAGGCAGGCTGTTGGAAGCTGCCACTGAAGTTGGTGGGATGACTATAGGGAGGAACAGTCCTGAACCCCACAGGCGTCAGCAATTACTTCGTATGTGGAAAGGCAATGTAGAGAATATAAGTTGAGGTGAAACTAAGATATTAACATTGAATTGTTTATAGACATATGAGGCATGGTTAGCTGCTATACCAGGTAGAATCTTGGGTGCTATAAAGAAGATAAGGGAAAACTATAATGAGAGTTCAGCAAAGGAAGAAATTTTATTTTTTTGTATCAGCTAGGAATATCATGGAGAAAGTGACATTTGAGCTGCCTCAGTAGATACTTAACAATAAATCATAACAACATGATAAGGGTAGAGCTCTGAGGGATGGATAAGAAGCAAATTCTAGGCAGAAGAAATTATTTGAGTCAAAAACACTGGTTGAAAGAATGCATTATGAATAGAGAAAGAAAATATTTGTTTAACTGGATATAGTGCTTTTGAAAGGTAATGGTAATACTAAAATTTGGGCAGGTAGGTTAGGGTCAGATCCAAAGGATCTTTAGTTTTCAGGCTAAGGGATTTGAACTAGATTCTACAGATCAGTTCAATCCAAAACTGGATTGGGGTGGAAGAGTCGGGGCAGGGAGATTGATTGGACAGACTAATACTGCCTCTCTAACTGTTTAAATCAAGATAGCAAAGAAAATGGGTGGAGGAAATGTTTCAAAAGTAGAAGCAGTCAAACTTGGCAATGGAATGAATGTAGGAGTAAAGGAGAGGGAAGAGTCAAAGATGACTTGAGGTTTGAAAACCTTGGAATTTATAGGCTTAACGTCATAAAAAGTAAAGGCTCTGGTTTGAAACAACCCATAAACTTAAAAGGGAATTGTATTTTCAACAACTATATATAAAATTATAAATATTAAAATGAAAAGTTCATAGAAAACCGTAAGGAAAAGATAAATATATTAGTACCAAACCCAAACCTGTTGCTGTTAGCTGATTCCAACTTACAGTGATAGAACTGCCCACTGCCCCACAGGGTTTCTTTGGAAACCCTGTACAGGGTCACTACAAGTCAGAACCTACTTGACAGCATTTAAAACAATCAACAGTATTTACCACATCTTTCCACCACAGAACTGCTGGGGATTTGAACTGCCAACATTTCCATTAGCAGCCAAACGCTTAACTACTGCAGCACCAGGCTTCCTTAAATACAGCAGTAAACATGTAGGATTTCAAATGATGTCAGGGAGTAAAAATGAATGACATTATTAATGCACAGGACTGCATTAATAAGAGTTACAGAAACTATTTTAAATTTAAATGTTCTTATTTTTGCCCTGTGTAATGTCTATAGGTGTGTATGCTTGGATTGGCATTAATTTTGTCCTTGGACGATTTGAGCATATTGAAGATGGTAAGTATCATGTTTCCAACTAATGTTTTTTAACTAGAAACCGTAGTTCCCCTGTTTCATCCAAAAGACAGGCAGTGAAATGTTGTGACGCTGCTAAGTGTGTAGGAGTATAGCGAGAGGAACTGCTATTGAATCCACTTAAACTTGATTTAGTTGAGAGGAGTAGACTGAGCTATTCTCATGCCTAAATGTTCTTGAAAGCTATGGTGTAAACAGGATGACTCTTCAGAAGATCCCAGTTCTCTGGACTGCTTCTGTTTCAGTGACTATTTCTTTGTCCAGATGACGAAGCAGTTGTGGAAGTCAACATTCCTGGCAGTGAAAGCAGTGAAGCCATTCTCCGCAAAAGAACAGCGGGCATTCTCGACATGGGCGGCGTGTCCACTCAGATAGCATATGAAGTCCCCAAAACTGTAAGCTTTGCCTCCTCACAGCAGGTTATTATCTGTACAAATTTCCTTCCATTTGTTTTGGTTTTCATTTAACGTCTCTCCATCCATTTTGTTTTGTTTTCTGAGTCGGAAAACATCTTTACTGTGCTTGCTGAGGTACCACCTTGTCAGCCCAGGAGGAAGGAGACTGGAAGAATCCAAGGCAAACCTCAGCTAAGCTACTTGTGTTTGTGCATTGAGATCAGCTGATTTGTTTTCTGAACTTAGTTTTTCTCTGGTATATGTGTCAGTTACATGCTTAAATTTCTGTTGTTGTCTTCTCTTCAGTCACTTCTCTAAACAGGTATTGTAAAACTTAAAATAATGTAAACTTTTTAAGGTACGATTGTGAAAATACCATTTTTGTTATGATTCTGACAGCTTTTACCTTTTTAAGGACTGAGGTTTGTACTGAATACTCCCAGATTTTGGATGGTTTAGATTCTGTTTACTGCATTCCCTTCTTCAGTGGTCTCAGCTACTGCCTTAAAGTTTCTCTGTAGGCTGGTGGCCTTGTATAGAGAACACCAGGACGATTTGAGCATATTCATATCTATTACTGAATCACTACATGTCCTCATTATTCATTTGTAATTTCATGCCAAAGCCTGGTTTGCTTCGTTGTCCCCTAGAATATAGGGATGCAGCAGCATATATGGTGGTTAAAACTGAGGCTGAGGAGCTGACCCAGCCTGAGTTACATCATCATTCTATTCCTTTACTAGTTGCGTGACTTTATACAAGTCACTGAACTTCTCTGAGCTGATTTCCTCATCTATAAATATGAATGTTGTTGTTGTTGTTATGTGCCATGGAGTCGCTTCCGACTCATAGCGACCCTGTACAGGGTTTCCGAGGCTGTAAATCTTTATGGGAGCAGAACGCCTCATCTTTCTCCCATGGAACTGCTGGTAGTTTCGAACTGCTGACCCTGAGGTTCGCAGCCCGATTTGTAACCACTACACTACCAAAGCTCCTTATAAATATGAATAAGAGTACCTTTTGTTGTTTTTGTTAAGTGTTGTGGAGTTGGTTCCAACTCATAGCGAACCTGTATAGGATTTTTGAGACTCTTAAGTCTTTGCGGGAGCAGAAAGCCTCATCTTTCTCCCACAGAACAATTGGTGGGCTCAAACTGAATACCTTGTGGTTTGCAGTCACCACACTCTCCTATGAGTACCTACAACATACATAAAATCACTGCCATCGGGTCGATTCTGACTCTTGTGATCCTATGTAAGGTTTGTTTCCAAGACTGTAAATGATTACAGTTCTTTGGAATCACTGGTGAATTTGAACCACTGACTTTTTGGTTAGCAACCTAATCCACAGCATCTCCAGGGCTCCTTCCAACATCCACAGGGTTATTATAAAAAGTAATGAGATAAGATACATATTGGAATTAGTGCACTGCCAGGCATCTGTTAGGTGCTCAATAAATGTTAGTTAATATTAGTCTATTTATTAGGGTGATCTATAAATGGTGTGCAACAATTTATAACAGGCGTGGCAACAATTGTGAGGTTGGCCCAGGATCGGGCAGTGTTTTGTTCTGTTGTGCATAGGGTGGCTATGAGTCGGTACTGACTCGATGGCACCTAACAACAACAACAATAAATGGTGTGGCACTGTAGAATAAGCACTGAACTACTAACCTCAAGGTTGGCAGTTTAAACCCACTAGCTACTCCTTGGAAACCCTATAGAGAGAGGGTCACTATGAGTTTGAACCAACTTAACAGCACTTAATAACAATAACAACATAAATGCTTTGATCTCCTTGGGAAAAAAGTTTTTGTAAATTCAAGTGTTATAAGTTGTCATTTTTACTTTCTATTCAAACATGCCTCTAAAAAACTATTATTCTTTGTAAAACTCATGTTTGTTTTTTCACATTTATACATAACTATTACATATTACAAGAGAGCTTCAAAAACTTTGTGGAAAAATTCCTTTAATATTTTCATTTTATTTTTCCATGAACTTTTTGAAGCACCCTCACATACACTTATATACCTAAGCAGACCTGATGGCACTGTAGGATAAGCACTGGACTGCTAACCACAAGAAGTTCAAACCCACCAGTCACTCCTCGGGAGAAAGATGAGGCTTTTTGCTTCCGTAAAGATTCACAGCCTCAGAAACAGGATGTTATGAGTCAGAATCGACTTGATGGCAATAGATTAAAGGAAGTTGAAGAAAATATTGAAAAATCAAGATTAAAAATTTTTCATGGACTGACTCATGATCCAAATACAAACATCTTGGTGTATTTCTTTTCACTGTTTTTTTTTTTTTTTTCTTTTTCCTCTTAAAGTTTTAAAAATATGGTTGTTATAATAGTACTATTTGCATAATTTTGTGTTCTTTATTTAACACTGCATAAACATGTTTGATTGTAATCGAGCTGAGTTAGCCAAGCCCTCCCTGGGATATCTACTCAGATGTTATCCAGTTTTCTCTGTCTTGGAATTACAATGGATATTTTGTGTCTACAGACTTCCTATTTAGGAAGTTTAGGATAATTTCCAAAGAATAAGATTTTCATAAATAGATTCATTTGGTCAGAAAGGGTATAAACTTTTTCAAAGGATCATAACAATATTATAAATGTGCAGCACATTTGAAATTTCTTAAGTTGCCATTATGTTGAATTATGTAGGATGCTTTGATTTGGGGAAATACAGAGACAGACATTGCTGCCTCTCTCAGATGAGAATCTTTTTCTTTTTAAAGGGGCATATTCATCAAGAGGTCATTGTTTTTGTGGTGGTGCTGAAAATACTGAAGTTTGTTATCCTTACGTCTGCAGGAGGAAATAGCTAAAAACTTACTAGCAGAGTTTAACTTGGGATGTGATGTTCACCAAACTGAGCATGTATACAGGGTGTATGTGGCCACGTTTCTTGGATTTGGTGGCAATGCTGCTCGACAGAGATATGAAGACAGAATATTTGCCAACACACTTCAAAAGAACAGGTAAAGCATCTTCCACTACCCACAAGTTACTTGTAAACTTAGGCTTTGCCTCATAAAAAAACATCCAGGCAATGGATGGAGAATTCAGTCCACAAAAGTATGTCAACATTGTTAGCTATTTACTCCTCTCTACATGGAGTCCTGGTGTGGTGCTGTGAGTTAATGCACCAGACTGCAAAGCCGTTTGACCCTGCAAGGTCGGTAGTTCAAGCTCACCAGCTGCTCCTTGGAAACCCTATACAGGGTCACTATGGGTTGGGATTGACTTGACGGCACTTAACAACAACAACCTGCAGAGCTGAAGGAGCTCTGGTAGCATAGTGGTTACGAATCAGGCTGCGAACCTCAGCGTCAGCAGTTCAAAACTACCAGCTGTTCCACGGGAGAAAGATGAGGCTTTCTGCTCCGGTAAAGATTTACAGCCTCGGAAACCCTGTACAGGGTCGCTATGAGTTGGAACGACTCCATGGCACATAACAACAACAACATGCAGAGCTGAGAGGAGGAATTCAAGGATACCAGGATCCTGCCTTCAATCCATGATCCTTCAACCCCAAAGAAGGATTTGTCATCTCTTTGGCCTCTTACCTTTCAGCTCACCAGATGCATTTGAAATTTCACTATAAGAATATTACCAAGTTTTTGCATTTGGGGTAATAGACCATTTATTCAGCTCCTGGGACAAATGGCCTGGAGGCATGCCGTGAAGATACAGATACAGATTCTTTAGTAATGTATTAACATTAAATTATAGGGTAATAAAAGACCAAAGTAGTTGTAAAGAGTTTAAATGTGATTCTCCTTTGAGTAGATGAATTTGTTGTTGTAGTTGTAGTTAAATGCCATTGAGTAAATTCTCTATTAGGGATTTCAGGGAGCTGCCAGTATGCTCATCAGTGATCTAATTGAAATATGTCTTTGTGTTCTCAGATCCTTTATGGGAATCAGCCTGTGCTTTTATTTGGTAGATAAGAAGCGCAGAGGAGAAAGGTGATCAGGAGAAGGGAATCTAGAAGTCAAAGTAATGTTTTTTTCATCATTTTTAGCAGTGTAACTTTTAAAAATGAGATTATGTAAAATCCTGACATAGAAAATATCTAATACAAATAAAAGCAACATGTCATCAGTTTAAATTTACTTTGTAAGTTTAAGTACACAGCAGTTGCTTATTTGAAATGAGTCCATAGTACCGGAAAGCTGTGTGAATGGATACAAAAATCTGAAATATGGGTTCTGTAAGATACCATATTCATTCCTGTAAGGATCTAGTCAAATGCACATTCAATTCTCTGTTACTTCCCCACATGCAGCACTCCTTCGTCTGACCCTAATTATCAGGAATCAACTCTGCCAAGATGCCAGCCCCCACAACTTACGAGACCCCCACAACACCCTCACTTCTAACCTGAAGGCTGCAAATTCAGGAGTTCCCTGTGCCCCCTCAGGATACTAGTCATAAGCTCAGAGATTCCTAGCCTCCCTCACTTCTAACCTGCTGACGCTCACTACTCCCTTGGTTTCAGTAATGTATTAGGACAACTCACAGAACCCATAAAATGACTATACAATTACAGGTATGTTTTTCCATCCAAAAAGCTAGAAATGAAGAGACACAGGGGGACTATAGAAGAGTTCCCAGTGAAGCACTTCCATGACCCAAAAAAGAACTCATTACCCTTCCATGTGCATGCCTTTCACCAGCCAAGAAACCTTTGGAACTGTTCTGTCCAAAGTCTTGTTACCTTGAATCAACCCATTTCTCCTGAGGTCGGCCACTACCACACAATGATCTTTCAGGCCAGCATTCACCTGAGCCATCTCATTAACACAAAGTCTCAGGTGTGGTCTGGAGGCCTGTAGGTAAGAAAGGCACCTCAGTTACTCAGGAAAGTCTATGGTGGTTAGAACTATCTCTCTGGAACCAAGGACAAAGACCAAATTACTCTGGGTCAAGTTGAAGTAAATCTAGCAGTTTGTTTTGATGCAGTATTTTTGAGGAAGAAAACATCCTAATTTGTACAGAAATAAGTGTTAGTATACTCTTGATCAAGTTAATCGTAACGAACTTGTGAAGGCCCAAACTTTAAAAAAGACCAAGCTAGAGCTTTTTAGGACCACATTTAACAAAAGTTCACATGTGTGCATAGGAAAAGTAATAAAAACTTTACCTGTGTATGTCCCAAAGTTTATATATAGTACATAAACCATTTTGTATATAACAATTTTTTAGATAGTCTTAAAATAGATGACCACCACTCATCTGTCAGTTTGTCATACTGTGGTGGCTTATGGGTTGCTGTGATTCTGAAAGTTATGCCACTGGTATTTTAAATACCAGCAGGGTCACCCAAGGTGGGCAGGTTTCAGATGAGCTTCCAGACAAAGACAGATTAGGAAGAAGGAGTGAAGAACTACTTCCGAATATTAAGCCACTGAAAACCTTATGAATAGCAGAAAAACGCTGTCAGATATAGTGCTGGAAAAGGAGCCCCTCAGGTTGGAAGGCACTCAAAATGCGACTGGGAAGAGCTGCCTCCTCAAAGTAGAGTTGACTGTGATGACGTGTGGGAGAAAATCCCACGGGACCTTCATTTGCTGATGGGACACAACTCAAAATGAAGAGAAACAGCTGTAAACATCCACTGAAAATTAGAACATGGAATGTACGAAGTATGAGTCTGGGAAAATTGGAAGTGTCAAAAATGAAATGGAACGCATAAACATTGATACAGCATTAATGAGCTGTATTGGCCATTTGGAATCTGATGATGACATGGTTTACTATGCTGGAAATGACAAATTGAAGAGGAATGGTGTTGCATTCATTGTGAAAAAGAACATATACAGATCACTCATGAAGTACAACGCTGTCTGTGATAGGATAATATCCATGCGCCTACAGGGAAGCCCAGTTAATACCACTATTATTCAAATTTATGCACCAACCACTAAAGCCAGTGAGGATGAAATAGAAGAATTCTACCAACTTCTTCAATCTGAAATTGATCAAACATGCAATCAAGATGTATTAATCATTACTGGTGATTGGAATGCAAAGGTTGGGAGCAAAGAGGAAGGTTCAGCAGTTAGAAAATATGACCTTAGTGACAGAAATGATGCTATGATAGAATTCTGCAAAATCAATGATTTGTTCATTTCAAATACCTTCTTTAGACAGCATAAGAGACGACTATACACATAGACTTCACCAGATGGAATACATAGAAATCAAATTGACTACGTCTGCGGAAAGAAACAATGGAAAAGCTCCATATCATCAGTGAAAACAAGGCCAGGGGCAGACTGTGGAACAGACCATCAATTATTCATATAAAAATTCAAACTGAAGCTGAAGAAAATGAAAAAAAGTCTACAAGAACCAATATAATGACCTTGACTATATCCCACCTGAATTTACAGATCTGAAGAAATTATCAAATCTGAAGAACAGATTTGATACATGAAACACTGAAGACTGAAGACCAGAATTGTTGTGAGATGACATCAAGAACATCATACATGAAGAAAGCCAAAAGTTATTAAGAAGACAAGAAAGAAGGAAAAGGTCCAAATGGATGTCAGAAGAGACACTGAAACTTGCTCTCCAGCATAGAGATGATAAAGCAAATGGAAAAAGTGAGGAGGTACAAGAGTTGAACAGAAAATTTCAAAAGATCAGCTCGAGAACATAAAGCCAAATATTACAACAAAATGTGCAAAGATCTGGAATCAGAAAACCAAAAAAGAAGAACACGCTCAGCATTTCTCAAGCTGGGGGAACTGAAGAAAAAATTCAAGCATCAATTTTTGTTATTGAAAGATTCTCTAGGCAAATTATTGAATGATGCAGAAAGCATCAAGAGAAGATAGAAGGAATACACAGTCACTGTACCAAAAGGAAATGTTTGATGTTCAACTGTTTCAAGAGGTAATATATGATCAAGAGCCAGTGATACTGAAGGAGGAAGTCCAAGGTGCATTGAAGGAACTGGCAAAGAACAAGCCACCAGGAATTGATGGGATAAAAATTGAAATTTTTTCAAGAAAGTGAGGCGGCACAAGAGTCACTCACTCATCTCTGTCAAGAAATTTGGAAGACGACTGCCTGGCCGTGTGATTGGAAGAGATCCATATTGGTGCCTATTCCAAAGAGAGGTAACCCAACAGAATGTGGAAATCATCGGACAATCTCTTTGATATCTCATGCAAGTAAAGTTTTGCTAAACGTGATACAGAAACGGCTGCAAGCATACACTGACATAGAACTTCCAGAGTCCAAGCCAGATTCAGAAGAGGCCGTAGAATGAGATATCATTGCTGATGTCCGATGGATCTTGGCTGAAAGCAGAGAATATCAGAAAGATATTTACCTGTGCTTTATTTACTATGCAAAGGCTTTCGATTGTATGGATCACAACAAGCTGTGGACAACATTGCTAAGTATGAGTATTCTGGAACATTTAATTGTGCTCATGTGGAATCTGTACCATGGACCAAGAAGCAGTTGTTTGAAAAGCACATGGTAACTGAATGGTTTAAAATTTAAAAATGTGTGCAACAAGATTGTATTCTTTCACCATACTTATTCAACCTGTATGCTGAGTAAATCATCCGAAAAGCTGGGTTTTATGAAGAAAAACATGGTATCAGGATTGGAGGAAGACTCATTAGCACCCTGCGATATGCAGATGATACAACCTTGCTTGCTGAAAGTGAAGAGGACTTAAAACATTTACTGATGAATATCAGAAGCACAGCCTTCGGTATGGATTACATCTCAATGTAAAGAAAACAAAAATCCTCACCTCTGGACCAATAAACAACATTCTTATCAACAGAGAAAAGAACTGAAGTTTTCAAGGACTTTATTCTTCTTGGATCAACTATCAACACTCATGGAAGCAGCAGTCAAGAAATCAAACTATGTATTGTATTAGGCAAATGTGCTGCACAAGACCTTTTTAAAGTTTTGAAGAGCAAAGATGTCAGCTTGAGGACTAAGGTGTGCCTGGCCCAAGCCATGGTGTTTTCAATAACCTCATAAGCATGCGAAAGCTTTACAGTGAATAAGGAAGACCGTAGATGAATTCATGCTTTTGAGTTATGGTGTTGGAGGAGAATATTGAAAATGTCATGGGCTGTCAAAAGAAGCAACAGATCTGTGTTGGAAGAAGTGCAGCCAGTGTGCTCATTGGAGGCCAAGATGGCTAAACTTCGTCTCTCATACTTCGGACATACTGTCAGGAGGAGAAGTCACTGAAGAAGGATATCATGTTTGGTAAGATGGAGGGTCAGAGGAAAAGAGGAAGACCCTCAATGAGATGGATTGGCCAAGTGGCAGCATCGATGGACTCAAGTGTGGCAACAATAGTGAGGTTGACCCAGGATCGGGCAGTGTTTCTGCTTTGCATAGAGTCGCTATGAGTTGGTACCGACTCAATGGCACCTGACAACAACAACAACAAAATAGAAGAAATATTTCATAAATGACATTTGAATCAAATATTCATGGAAGCACTTGGGAACAGCACAGGTAGAGTTTTAATTTTTACTGAATGGTGCTAATGTCAGGTTTTGCACCATGGACAATTCAGTAGTACTTCTTAATTTAGGTGTAAGGCAGCTAAAAATAGTATGAAATATGCATTTGACTGGACTCATTAAACTCTTAGAACTGTGGTGGTATTGTTGCTAAGTGCCGTTGAGTTGGTTCCGACACATATCAACCCTTTGTAGTGTTTCCGAGGAGCAGCTGGTAGGATTGAACTGCCAACCTTGCAGTTAGCTGTAGCACGCACCCATTTTTTTCAGGTGTGGTCAGTTAAGCCTTGAAATTCATACTTAGCTATTTGCCATTAGTGGTGGTGATTGATATTTTTAATTGTTAATGCCAAAGACCTTAATTTATTATATTCACATGCATTTTAAGATGCCCACAACTTTAGTCATAAGCTCTTTCCTGTTTCTCCATTGCTTACATGGGAGAAGACGTAGTAGGATGACAGATGTTAATTCCCAGATCATTAATTGAGAACTCCTAGTGAGCCTAGTGGATTTCACTTGGGGATGACTCAGTTAAAGTTAACACTGCTTTTCTACTGGATTATCTCAGAACCTGTGCTTCAATAGAAATTGTTACCTGCTGCAATTGGAATGGGTAATTGATTTAAAAACAAAATCAGAACAGAATCATAAAAGTAGATTCAAACCCTAAGTATTTTATTATAATACTTAATAAACAGTTATTTGCCAATTTTTTGCAGTGAACCAGGGTCTTTTCCTTAGGACGCTTTCCCCTGGTAGTCTTCTATCATTTCTGCTGCATACTCTGCACTCACTCAACTAGATGCCAGTTTGAACTTCGTTACAGAATTTAAAGAATGCTGGGATATTTACAAATTACTCTAATACCAAGATTTTTCCCAATTTTTTTTTTAATCTTGCCCCCACCTAATTGAATGGCTGTCTTTCTAGCAACTTGCCTTAATCATTATCTTTCTAAAGCACCTCACCTAGTGTTTTTATAGGACCTTGTTTTTACAGTCACATTTCATACATTTCTGTATAATTAAAATAACAAGGTCTGGTACTGCGGGTTAATGCACTAGACAGCAAAGTCAGTTTGAGCCACCAGGTTGGAGGTTCAAACTCACCAGCCGCTCCTTGGAAACCCTATACAGGGTCCCTCTGGGTCGGAACCAACTTGACAGCACATAACAACAACAACAAGGGCAAAAATGTACTTGGGAGCAACACAGTTGCTAAGTATTGGACTTCAGTGAATGTGTGACTAGAGAGGATGTTCCTAGCCATGAACTCTGGAAGGACAATGTGTATGCTGAGGGAAGGGAAGCACTGAGTGATCTGGCAGGTTGTTGAACTAGGCTCTGCTTAAGTGTATTGGGCATCTCCAAGGAAGAATTGAGTACAGCATTTCCTAGCTTAATAGATCCTGAGACCCCTTTTTATTTTTCCACAGAACATTTTGCAGGGTAATATTATACAGAGTATATTCTGAGAAACATTAACCAGCCATCCCCTCTCAAAAAACAGTTTTCTGTAGGTCTAATGATAGTTTCTCTTTGTACTGTAGGCTCCTGGGTAAACAGACCGGTCTGACTCCTGATACTCCGTACCTGGATCCCTGCTTGCCCCTAGACATTAAGGATGAAATCCAACAAAACGGACAGACCATGTACCTCAGAGGAACAGGAGACTTTGGCCTGTGTCGAGAGACCATTCAGCCTTTCATGAATAAAACAAATGAAACACAGACTTCCCTCAATGGGATCTACCAGCCTCCAATTCACTTCCAGAACAGTGAATTTTACGGCTTTTCTGAATTTTACTATTGCACTGAAGATGTGTTACGAATGGGGGGAGACTACAATGCTGCTAAATTTACTAAAGCTGCAAAGGTAAAAAAAAAAAAAAAAAACTTCTCCTGCGTGCTTTTAAGAGACTGGTATGAACAATGGCAGGTTACACCTCCCTTCATATTTGGAAGCCTGCCCCAAGAGGAGAACAAAGTGAAGTATAAGGTGATCTAGTACAGGCTGGGAATCATACTCCCTTTAGGTGGGTGAGGAAAATATAACAGAAGCCCAGTGTCCACTAAAAGCTGATTTCTCCCCACCACTCCATTGACAACCGAGGTGTTATCAGTACCCTCACTTTGCTGTCTTTCTGTTCTTTTCTGCCACATCTGAAAATACTCCAGCTAACCTTCCTACCATTCCTAAGTTCCCTTCAGCTTTCTGGCAGTTACTTCTCAGACTCTAGGCTGTGTTTGTGTCTCATCTGTGTTTTTGGTGTTTCCTCTCTTGTCTGAAATGACTTGTCTTTGCTCTCTCACCTCAAGGCTAAGTGCTGCCCCCTTGTGTCCATATTGCATATCCCAGACAGGCGCCATCATCTTTTTAAACTTCATTTCTTCCTCCTTTGAATAGAGGTTGGAGTCATGTCCTCCCTTGTTTTAAGTATTCAGAAAAAACACAGATTAAGGCACATAGTAACTTCAAGAAAATCACAAAGAATACAAAGCCCTTTGTAATCATCCTTTTAGCCCCAGTGCCTTGTATTGTGTCTGGCACAGATGTGAGTGCTCAGTTTGAGCTAGTTAAAATACTGCTTCACTCTTCCAAAATTTTATGCTTGTATCATGCAGTCATTTAGGGAGAAGCTAAACAGCGTCAAAGGTTGGGCAGTGAAATTCATTTTAACTATAGGTTTGGCTTTATATTTTTGAGCCTGAAGTATTTAGTGAGTGTTTATATGGTTTGCATTGATTGTACACATATATGATAAGTTAAACCTATATGGTTCCTAACTGAAAGGATATGCATGATACAATTAGGAATTTGGTCAGCCTTTTTTTTAATACGGAGCAAAAAGGTTTTAATAAACCTTTACTAATACTTTATCTTGTATGAAATTCTTTCAGGATTATTGTGCAACCAAGTGGTCCATCTTGCGGGAACGCTTTGACCGTGGACTCTATGCCTCTCATGCTGACCTCCACAGGCTAAAGTAAGTAAAGGGGAATTATTCAGAGTGTTTCTGAGCAGCCTTTAATTCAGGTTTGACCCGCTGACCTGTCATCTTGACCTACCTACCTCTTCATCCTTACCAGTCTTCCCTCCTTCTCTCCTCCTGCCTCCATTCCCATTGAACAGACACTTGTCCCCTTGAGTTTTCTGTTTCTTCCTCCTGAAGTTCCCTTGTTGTTATCGCTGCATGTTAAAACCCTCCTCAGACTGTAAGACAGGCCAGACACTGTCACTTTTGAGTCTTCCTCTGTCCCCTCATCAGACTCCATCCCTTTCTCTTAAGTCTTCATAGCACCAACTCTGTCTCTCTAATAACTTTATCTTATTCTTCTTTATTTTGTAATTATTTGTTGCTATTTTAAAATCCTCCTTCATTGCAAGTCACTTAAGAGCAGCAACTATATCATACTATTTATTAAATCTTATTACCTACTCAGCCTAGTGCCTTGTAAAAAGTAGCCTATAATAAATATGTAGTATCATAAAAAATTAGAGTTGAAAGACAACTTCTCATTTTAAAAAATAAATAAACTGAAGTTCAGGGAGATTGGAACTTGCTCAGTATTAATTTAGTGAACAAATGACGGCATGCCTAAGGTAGGGACTGTCACGCATTGTATTAAATAATGCAGAGACCAAGTTTTGTGAGTTAATTGATTTGACAGGTAAACTATTTCATGTTGTGGGACAAGGGATATAAATCAACTAAATCGACTAGAAAACACATCCAGGTGGTTTGACTCATCAGAAAGCTGCACAGTGAAGCCTTTCCCCCAGTACTAGGTGCAGAGTGAGAGATGTCATTACGCAGGGTGATATTTTTGCAGTGTTGTTTTAACAGGTGATCAGTCTGCTTTTTTGTTTGTGCTTTGTATTTGCAGGTATCAGTGCTTCAAATCTGCCTGGATGTTTGAGGTGTTTCATAGGGGCTTTTCGTTTCCTGTCAATTATAAAAATTTGAAGACCGCCTTGCAAGTTTATGACAAGGAGGTTCAGTGGACCCTAGGTGCAATCCTTTACAGGACTCGCTTTTTACCCCTAAGGTAGGACTGTGAATTTGGCAGTGTAAAGCCAAGGGGAAAAATAAGATACTTTTCATCAGTTAGGATGCATCATGGCCATGTGTGCACCAGTGGTCTAGGGCTGTTTGGGGTGTTATAAATCCCATGAAGTCTGACATTGGTGTTTCCCTTCATTCTCCCTTTATTCTCCTGCTGACCCATCTTCTTGTATACAGTGTGGCTGCCATCTATTAGATTAGTCTCAACTATCCATTCCCTTGTTTCCGTAGACAGGCTAATTCGGGTTCTTCACTTGACTGGTCTTGGACCCCTTCTTAAAATACTGTTTTAGAGTGTGAAATTCATGGACTCCTGGCATGGCACTGTGGGATCACCACTGAACTCCAACCATAGGTCAGCTATTCAGATCCTCCAGCTGTTCCTCAGAAGCCCTATGGGTCACTGTGGGTTGGAACTCACTCAGTAGCACTTAACAACAACAGTATAAATATATAGGATTGTTGTTGTTGTTAGGTGCCATTGAGTCAGTAACACCTCATAGCGACCCTGTGCACAACAAAACGAAACACTGCCTGATCCTGGGCCAACCTTACAATTGTTGCCTCTTGAACCCATTGATGCTACCACTTTGCCAGTCCATTTCACTGTGGGTCTTCCTCTTTTTCTCTGACACTCCACCTTACCAAACATGGTATCCTTCTCCAGTGACTGGTCCCTCCTGACAGTATGTCCAAAGTATGAGAGACGAAGTCATCGTGGCCTCCAAGGAGCACTCTGGCTGCACTTCATCCAACACAGATCTGTTGCTTCTTTTGGCAACCCATGGCACATTCAATATTCTCCTCCAACACCAGAACTCAAAAGCATCAGTTCTTCTACAGTCTTCCTTATTCACTGTCCAGTTTCGCATGCATATGAGGTTATTGAAAATACCATGGCTTGGGTCAGGCACACCTTAGTCCTCAAGCTGACATCTTTCCTCTTCAACACTTTAAAAAGGTCATGTCCAGCAGATTTGCCTAATGCTATATACATCATTTGATTTCTTGACTACTGCTTCTATGAGTGTTGATAGTTGACCCATGAAGAACGAAGTCCTTGACTTCGTGTAGGATTACACTGTATTAAAAGACATCTATCAAAATATTATAGAAAACAAGATCTGATGTAGTAATAGATATAGATCTTTATTAACATAATAAATACTGAGATTTTGTAGTAAAAGTAGTAATTTCTATAAGTTTAGCCTAGCAATGAGTGTTGGTGATATTTGAGACATTTATCATACTGTGTTGTTGTTGTTAGGTGCCATTGAGTCGGTACCTGCCCATAGCAACCTTATGCACAGCAGAACAAAACACTGCCCAATCCTGGGCCACCCTCACTACTGTTGCCACACTTGAGTACATAGATGCTGCCACTTGTCCAATCCATTTCGTTGGGGGTCTTCCTCTTTTTCTCTGACCTTCCACCTTACCAAACATGATGTCCTTCTCCAGTGACTCGTCCCTCCTGACAATATGTCCGAAATATGAGAAAAGAAGTTTGGCCATTGTGGCCTCCAAGGAGCACTCTGGCTGCACTTCTTCCAAAACAGATATATCACACTATGGTTGGTTGGTTATGTGCCGTGGAGTCAGTTCCGACTCATAGCGACACTGTACAGGGTTTCCGAGGCTGTAAATCTTTACGGGAGCAGAAAGCATCATCTTTCTCCCACAGATCAGCTGGTAGTTTCAAACTGCTGACCTTAAGATTCACAGCCCGATTCGTAACCACTATGCTACCAGACTATAGCATGATGTAAAATATTTGTGATTTTTACTAGTAACAAAATCATGTTGTTGTTGTTAAGTACTGGCGAGTCGGTTGCGACCCATAACGACCCTGTATAGGGTTTCCAAGGAGCAACTGGTGAGCTTGAACCACCAACCTTGCAATTCAAACAGCTTTGCAGTCTGGCGCATTAACCCACAGCACCACACCAGCAACAAAATCATAGGTCCTGCTAATAGTACAGTGGTCTGTTGTGAATGACAGACTGCACTTCAGTAAGAGATGACTGAAAATGCAGACATATCAAAAAATTCAAGTTCATACACTGGCCTTCTGTTGACCTAAGTTAAGAACCCCAGTTAATTGATAAATGAAGTATTAGCTCTCTTATTTATTTGTTATGATGACTTTGTCCATGTGATTCAGTATCCTAGGAATACTTTTATCTGGCTAACTGCAAACATTGTGGGTAATAGGTTTTACTGATCACAGTCAAGTGGTTTGATTCTACACTAGCATCTGTGTATCACTGAAAACTTTACTCGGTTCTCCTAAAGTTTCTCTGATCTTTGTTATCCAACTTACAATGGCAGTAACTGCTACAGACTTTTGAATGCGTGTTACCTTGTATAATACTTATAACCACCCCCACCACCCCATTAATCTATATTATCCTACATTTTGGAGCTAAGGACACTGAGGCTCAGGGCCTGAGTTGCTGGTTTCTGTCTATGGAGCTGGGTCCTAAACCAGGTCGTCTTTCCCAAATCCTGTGTGCTGCTCCATCATTCTCTTTTCTGTCATCTCTTCTTACCTATTTGGTTTCTTTTTCTTGTTTTTTTTTTTTTTTTTTTTGTCTCCAATGCAGAGATATCCAGCAGGAGATTTTCCGGGCCAGTCATGCTCACTGGCGAGGCTTCTCCTTTGTCTACAATCACTACCTGTTCTCTGGCTGCTTCTTGGTGGTTTTGCTGTCCATCCTTCTCTACCTGCTGCGACTCCAGCGCATTCACCGGCGGATGCTCCGGAATGGCTCGGTCGCCACCCTGTGGATGGAGGAAGGCCTTCCAGCTCAGAAGATGGCCGGGACTTTATGAGCCTGGGAGTTATCCCACTCCAGGAAGACTCTCAAGGAAAAGCCATTTTTGCCTCAGGGTTTCTCCTTTTTATTCTCATTCAGTTTTGTTTTTCCTTTCTCTTTTGGTTTCTTAAAACAGAAGCAAAATCCATTGTTTCTGATCCCTGCTTCCTAGAAGTGATTGCATTAAGCCATTTTGACGCAGCTTTAAATTAAGTAGGGAAAAGGGAAATTCACTTGGTTCTTTTTGCAGAGGACATCTGCCAAAATCAACTCAAATGTTTGGTTCTTCTCTAGAGTGTGTTGACGGTTAACCAAATGCACTTTGACAAGGGAAATGAAAAAGACAAGATCTCTCAGTAGAGAGAGGACTGAAAAGTGGTACTTGTACAGAACAAAAGCATATTGACTGAAATTATAATCCTTCTCTTTTTTTTTTTTCTTTCTATTCCTCCATTTTGAAAGCGCTAACCTAAAGATGGTAATGTTTAATTGTTATTTATTGTGAAGGTCTGTTGCTGTATGTTTTTTCCTTGGAGTTGTGAAAACTCAAAACCAATTATAGCCAAAATAGAGAAATACAGGTACCAGGAGGTAACTGGTTTATTTAGCTGTATAGTCAAGAGACCTGCACAGTGTGAAATATTGACAAGAGCTTTGTGTGTGCGTGTGAACAACAACAACAAAAATACTAATGAAGCTGAATGAGGGAAGACAGTGCCCTTTGAAAAATAGACCCTTCTGAATTGACTGCCTCATGTCATTTTATCTAGAAAAATCTCTATTATATTACTGTTATGTGTTTGTTTGTAACCTCAGGTAATTCCTTTCTGTATCCCATCTTTTAGTGGCATTAGAACTCTATTTTTGGAAGAATTTAAGGATTCATGAAATTTCGCTGGTTTCAGTGTCATTAAGCCTAGACCTGGTGTCCACCTACAGTCACGTGGTGTACTACATTTTCCCTTGTTTAGCTGTGCTCAGTTTCTCCCAGCTTTAAGTCTCCGCAGTTTTCCTTGGTAGACTCCACAAAGTTCTTTCTGACTGCCGCAGCTGAGGCCGTGCTGGCAGAGCCGCTGTAAATCCAGTTGGAGGGTCGGAATAAAACAACGTTAGCATTTCAAACAGAAACCTAAAAAAGACCACTGGATTGGCGTTTGTGATAATATATAGTTTGTGGGTATTGTTTTTGTGGATGTGTGTGTGTGTGTGCTGTATTTAAATTCCAGAATGGTTAAAATTCATGTAAAATTCAATGTAAATAGTAGCATATGTGTACATTAAGAACCATCAGCTGCTGCTTAAAAAAAATTGATAAAGAATTCAGATTCTGAATTCTGAAACCCTTATTTAACTCAGCAAAAAAAAAAAAAGGGGGGGGATGTTTAACATTATCTTCGTGACTTAGAAAAATGCAAATTTATGAAAGAAATCCAAATTCCTTTATTCAGCTCTTCAAAATGAATATTCTAGCAATAAAAAAAATTATTGGTAGAATATTTGCATCTCATATATCCAGAAGGTTGGAGGAACTATATAGCGTGACAACGTGTAATGTGTAGAGTCCTGTTCCGGAGAGTATGGCCTAGATCTATGAAGGCACTTCAAAAAATGAATGGAAATAATAGTGGAATTTTCCCACAAACTTTTTGAAGCCCCCTTCTTCATTTCCATGGACTCATACTCAGCTTTGAACTGCTGTTCTCCAGCTGTTGAAATCCATGCTCCCCCGTAAACACTCTTCCTTATTAAAATCCAGCCACATTTGAGCTGTGGCACAGACACCTCAGAAATGGAGTGAACTGGCATGCTTCTTGAATTCTAAGGTAGAGTTTGTCCCTGTAGATTGGGTGTCATTAGTGGTGAAGGAGGAAGTAAGTTTACACTTTAGTTTTTCTGTCATCAGCCACTACGTACAAATTAAGTCCCCAACTTGTTCAGGGAAAAATGGTAACTAACCAGAGTGTGTTCTTTTGATTTTAAAAATCAAGGCAAATGTAAGTCACGTCTTTAAATTGTTACGTGCCATAGAGTCAGTTCTAACTCATAGTGACCCTATATAGAGTTTCCGAGGAGCGCATGGGTTTGTAGGATATGTCCAGTGCTTAGCCTACAGCGCCACATGAGGGCAGATTTAAATAGGCCTTAAATAAATTCACCAGCGGTGTAGCTTTCAGGGGACAGTGTTGAGACAAGCACAGAGGAGGTCTCCTTGAAGCCCGACTTGAGAATCCCTGCTGCAGAAAACTGCCACATCAAACCAGATCCCCAGACGAGGAGCCTGATGCCCACACCTCCTTATCCTTGGGATTGTAGAACGTACCCATGTTCCCTGACAAAAAATTTCCTACATCAGGGAAGACGGACGTATGTCTCCAGCAGGCCAAAGCCAGCTCATGACCTGTTTTTTGAGGCCTATGAGTTAAGAAATGGCTTTCATATTTTTTAAAAGTTTGTAAGAAAAAATAATATTTGACAGAAACAGTATGTAGCTTATAGCGCAAAAAATATTTACTATCTGGCCCTTTACAGGAAAAGTTTGCTGACTCCGGTAAGCATAGTTGATTCCAGAAAGGATATAAACAATGCCATTTAATTAATTCAGGCAGTTATCACCAGTGTATATAAAAAGTTCAGCAGGAAAAGTGACCAGATTTCAACTCAAATATTTATTTGTGCCCCAGAATTTTATTTTTTATCTTATCTTCCAGATTCTTTTAAGATTGGGTTCTCTGACAAGCCAGGAAATGTGGTTCTCCCTGCCACCTACCCACTCCCCACCACAGAAGTGCTGTTTAGGAGGGAGCACTGTGTTACATTGAAGTGTCTGCTGCCACAGACTGGGCTGAAGAGAAAGTCTCACGTAGTTACGCTCCATACCAAAGAAGACAGCCGGCTAGTTCTCCAAAAGATGCAGGGATGAGTTTAGAGGCAAGCAGAGGAGGGGCTTCATCCAGGAGAAGGATTAATAGGAATGCAGAATTGGCCAGGAAGGCAGCAAACTCTGTAGACATGTAATGAAAAGAAGTCAAAGGAGTTGGGCCTGGATCTTTCTAACAGCCTTATCAAGGAAAGCATTGTGTGTAAGTCTTGGTAGACACTCCTGCAGTAATTGCTTCAGTATTTAGCCATATTGTTTCTTTTTAAACCTTCAGAGCACGTTCTCAGAGATTTGGCCATCCATTTAGGGATAGCAAGTAACTACAAACACATGGGCTTGTGTAAGGGATTACACATCTTCACATCTAACTTGCTTTGTGTTTCAGCAGTGCTTCCCAAGATGGAGTAGCTGCCCTGGCTGGAGGCTGGGGACACGAAACCATCCTGAGGACTTCCGAGACCACTGCTCACCACCCATTAGCCATATTTGTGCACTAGGGTTGGCAAGCTCTGGCTTCATGAATAGCTAACACTTTAAATTCAGGTCTACATCGAATCGTTTATGTTACAAGGAGCATGCATCACAAGAAACTACAAAAGGCAAATGTGTTTTCCAAGCTTTAAAAAGAAAAATCAGCTTTAGAATTTCACGCAGTAATGTGCAATGCAGCAAAACTGCCTTTACAGTAATTAAATAGTAGGTCAGTGTTTTGTTTTTCTGATAATTTACTTTCCCTTTCAGTAATGAATGATGCGTCCAGCCAAAGAGAATTATTTCCTGTTATGTTACTCTAGGTACATATTACACTTATGATTGGTTGTGTGCCACTGAGTCAGTTCTGGCTCATGGCAACCCTGTATAGGGTTTCTGAGGCTGTAAATCATTACAAGAACAGAAAGCCTCATCTTTCTCCCACAGAGTGACTGGTAGATTTGAACTACTAACCTTGCGGTTAGCAGCCCCATTCCTAATCTTCTACCCTATTAGGAATTCTAAAAACCAAGGGACGTATTTCAAATATCTGTTTTTTTAATTTATTAAGTAATGTTTTCTAATCAAAGTTAAAGTGAACATCTTGGTTGGAGGATTGTTACGGTGTTATATAATTTTCTATGTTTTCACAAACATGTTGCCACACTTGCACATGATGGGTATTGAGAATCAATAAAAAGGAAGTTTATCCAATTGCCCATAGACTGTGTGAGCTTACTTTCTTATAATTTAAACAGATTTTATCCCTGATATTTGAATCTTCTCTGTTACAATGGTTAGTTGAATTAAAATTCAGTAAGGTAACTTGAATCTGACTCCATGCTCTCCTTGCATCTGTTGTACTTGACATGAATAGACACAGCTGTATGGAAACACAGCTGTATGGATAGGGCATGGAGGGAGGAGCCTGTGCTCCCTGCAACACAGTCACCAAATATTTCACAAAGAAATATTTACCAAGGTATAGCACTAAGTCCTTCACAAATAATATATGCCATAATGAGGCAACTGTTTTTAAAACTATCATTTTCAACTCAGCAGTGAACAGTAACATTAACTATATGCATACCTACCCACCCACTGACACTGATTCTGACTCATCGTGACCCTATATATGGTATCTGAGATTAACTCTTTATGCGAACAGACAGTTTCATCTTTTCCCCTTGGAGCAGCTAGTGTGTTTGAACTGCTGGCCTTGGGGGTTAGCAGACTAGACAAAAGGAAAACTAACCCCATTTTATGTATTGACTCCTATAGATGTAAAAGCAAATGTTGACTTTATATTGTACCATTTTACAAATAGATTTGAGTTTAAAGCTTTTGGATCATTTCCAGAAAATGATGAACCTCATTACCATTGCTACTAATAAATGACAGAGCTGTTCAGATTAGAATATAGACCCAAAGAGTCCACAAGAAAACTTTAAGCACTAATAAAGGAATTTATCAAAGTTGCAGGGCACAAGGTCAATAAAAACAGTTGGGTTTCTACACACCAGCAATGAGAAATCTGAAAGGAAAATTAGGAAAGCAGTTCCATTTACAATAGCATCTAAGAGAATAAAATACCTAGGAATAAATCTAACCAGGGATATGAAGGGCATATACAGTGAAAACTAGAACATTCCTGAAAAAGATGAAAGGAGACAAATGGTTTGAAAGATTAGTGTTTAAATGTCAATCTTGCCCAAAGTGATCTATCGATTCAAAACAATTCTGATGTAATTCCAACAGTCTTCTTTACAGAAATAAAAAAATCGGTCCTAAACTTATAT